GGAAGCTGACTCGCCTCCATTCCCCGCAGAAGACAACGCACACAACTCCAAAGCTGACTCGCCTCCACTCCCCGCAGACACACGCAACTCCAAAGCTGACTCGCCCCCCCCGCCCCCAAAAAAAAGAAAGTAGACAACAACAACACCCAACTCCAAAGCTGACTCGCCCCCATTCCTTCGTTTTTGATTTCCGACTGCCTCATTCCCCGCAGTCTATACAACTCAAAGCTGACTCGCCCCCCGCCCCCGAAAAAAAAGAAAGCAGACAACACACACAACTCCAAAGCTGACTCGCCCCCCGCCCCCGAAAAAAAATAAAGCAGACAACAACACACACAACTCCAAGTGGATTCAGCACCCCCGCCCAAAAAAAAAGAAGAAAGTAGCAAAACACCACAACTCAAAGCTGACTCGCCCATTCCCCTTTATTGTAGTGTTGTGTTCTTCCTGCTAATTCAATTTGTCTGTCCAATAGATCTATATTTTTCTTTGAATTTCGCAACTGCTCCGGTTTTCCGTGTGTTTTATTTGTTTTTTCTTTCTATCGCCCCCCTGGAAGCTGACTCGCCTCCATTCCCCGCAGACACACACAACTCCAAAGCTGACTCGCCTCCATTCCCCGCAGACACACACAACTCCAAAGCTGACTCGCCTCCATTCCCCGCAGACACACACAACTCCAAAGCTGACTCGTTCCCCCCGCCCCCAAAAAAAAGAAAGTAGACAACAACAACACCCAACTCCAAAGCTGACTCAGCCCCGCCCCCCAAAAAAAGAAAGTAGACAACAACAACACCCAACTCCAAAGCTGACTCGCCCCCCCCGCCCCCAAAAAAAAGAAAGTAGACAACAACAACACCCAACTCCAAAGCTGACTCGCCCCCATCCCCCTTCGCCCCCCCGGAAGCTGACTCGCCCCCATTCCCTTCCTGGCAGAGCCCCTTTCCTGACCGAGCACTGCCCCGTCATACAAAACCGACGTTCTCAGCCGCGCGTTCTGACGCTCAAACTTTAAAAGGCTGTGACAGAAAGCGAGCAACGCAAGCCGACCTTTTCGCCATGGCGAAACAATACATGTTGCCTCTCTTGCGCAGACTCACGAATTTGCGAACCGAAGTGGCCACCGGTCGGACGCGCCGCAACTACGGTGTCGGGCGCGAGCTCACGGGCAAGGAGCTCTCTCGGAGGAAGACGGAAATCGCGAGGCTGGAACGGTGGACTGGGCGGGCGAAAAAAACGTCTGTTCGGCGTACGCCTGCCCGGCACTGCGCCTGCTCGGCACTCCTAGCCTTCCTACACGGCTTGGAGACTCCCCCAGCGCCACGCACGACAGCCTGACAAAAAACTTCGGGGTTTGAGAGGCACATGCCGCGAAACGAGCTATTCTCCCCGGCCATACGTGCGCGTATACCCGGGGAGAATGCGCGGCCGAGCAAAAAAAACTGGACCCGTAAAAAAAGAATGGCAAGTTGGGCGAGACAACGACAGCAGATCACGGAGGCCGCGGACGGCGGCGCCCGGGCTCGCACGGGGGCGGATGGAGCCGTCGTGCTGAACCTGCGGCGCGGCCCGGGGGCCTACGCGCTGCTCTCGCGCGCGGACGGGCAGCTGCCCCGGGCGGGCCAGCACTACTACTCCCACCTGGGCCTGCGGCCCCCCAGCAAGGACTTCGACTACAACCAGCCCCTCATCCGCGAGGGGCCCAACGACTACATCCTGCTGCGCAACGGGCAGAAGAAGCTCGTGCGCTCCCTGCAGGGCGGAGATCACCGGCTGACCAAGCTGGGCAAGGGCTTCTTCCGCGACAAGTACTACGAGTACCTGGTCCACGTGCCGGTGATCATCCGGGGCAGGAGGCGCAGCGGGCGGAACGCGGGCGCGGGCTACGAGCGCAGGGACTGGCTGCCGGTGAACGAGCTGGGCGGGGCCATGACGAGGCACCCGGCACACCTCACGGAGGAGCAGGTGGCGCAGCGGGTCAGGCAACAAGTGGAGGCCTCGCTGGGCGATCCGGGCGGCCCCATCCTGCAGCTCTCGGACGAGACCTACTTCCTTGACCCTGAGGGGCACTGGGTGGTCAGCACCCAGAGCACGCAGTATCGGAACTCCAGGACCGAGGTGGAGACGCTCCTGCGCCAGCGCATGAGGGGCCTGAGGAGCGTGAGCTTCCAGCTGCCCTGCGAGGAGGACGTGCTGCAGAGCGCCTTCGAGGACAAGCCGCTCTGCGCCGACTTTGACGCCATGCTGCGCCACGACTGGAGGCGCCTCGGCATCTCCGCCGAGGAGGTGCAAGAGTTCTGCGTGTGGCGCAACGCCCCCATGCGCGCGCTGAGCTCGCAGGGCGACCTTGTGGACAGCTACGACCCGGCGCTGAAGGAGCACCGCACCGTGTGCTTCTTGGCCTTTGACGGGCACTGCTACATGTACAGGGCCGTGAAGCGGGTGTTGGAGAGGCAGGCGGCGCGCGTGCTCTACCGGGGCGAGGCGAGGCAGACCCTGCCGCCCATCCAAGAGTGGAGGCGCTTTGACGGCGCGGACGTGCAGCCGGGGCTGTTCTGGTGCGAGGACCTGCGGGAGGCGCGGCGCCAGCTCATGGCCGTCGGCGAGAGCCCCAAGGTGGCCATCAGCAGCCCGGCGCAGTACTGCGGGCTGAAGCTGAGGCGGGGCACCAGGATCCGAGAGCTGCCGGAGGAGCACGAGGTGCTGCGGAGGTGGTGCGAGGCGCTGGGGCAGGAGTACCGGGGCCAGCGCCTGGCCGGCTTGGCGCACGAGATCTTCCTGAAGCTGCTCAAGGCGAAACGGGAGGTGCCCGGCGCGGCGGAGAGGCAGAAGACCCTGGCCGCGCAGGACGGCAAGCGCGCGCTGCGCTGCGGGCTGACGGCCGGCACCTGCGAGCTGGACCACGTGGCGCCGGTGCGGCAGGCCTTTGCGGGCAGCGCGCAGACTCTGCAGGCGCTGTGCGGCGACTGCCACAGCGAGAAGACGCTGAGAGAGAGCGCGCAGCCCACCAGCCTGGAGAGCCGCGTGGCCCCCGGAGTCATGGAGTACGCCCGGAGCCCCAAGCTGCCTCCTCTGGTTTTTGAGGCGCAGGCGTGCGTCCCGCAAGAGAGACGCTCTGTACGTCGGCGTGGACGTGGTGCGCTGCAGGCGCAACGGGCTGGCCAACGCCCCCTTCCCCTGCCCATCCTGTGCCCGGCGGACGGCGTTGAGCCCGTGGACGGCGCGCTGCCGGACCTGGGCTTTGTGGAGGGCTGCTGCGACGCGAGGCAGTCCTGCCTGAACCTGTTGCCGTACGTGGGGCCCGGCTGGTACCGGAAGGTTTCGCTGGCCGCGATGCTGGACCTGGGCGTCTGCCGCTGGGACCACATCGTGTTGGGCATCTCCGCGCGGAGCCACGTGGACGCGGCGACGCTGCGGCGCGCGCTGGAGCGGATGGACGCCGCGTGGCAGGGCGAGGAGCACATGGCCAAGCTCAGCGTGAACGCGATGATAGGCCTGTGGGCGCGCAGCGCGGAGGTGGTCTACAGCGTGCGCAGCAGCAGCAGCGAGCTGGACGGCGCGGGCGCGGACTTCTCTCAGGCCTTCGCCTACGAGGGGGGCATGGTGTGGGACTTCGTCTACGCCAGGAGGCTGCTGAGCAACGGCACCTACCGTCCCATCCATGACGCGGCCCTGGGCTTTGAGCACTGCGTGGTGGCCAAGGCCCGGCGCATCCTGGACGCGCCGCCGCGCTACCTCGTGCAGGTGAAGACGGACTGCCTGCTGACGCAGCGGCTGCCGAAGCGCTTCACGGAGCGGCTGCGGGCGCTGGAGGCGCTGCGCCACCCGGACGGCACGCCGGTCTACCGCGTAGAAGAGACGAAGCCGTTGCTGGGCAGCAGCATGGAGGCGGAGCGCCCCAAACAACGGAGGTGGAACGGGGTGGACGACCCCGTGGGCCACTGCCTGGCGGGCAACTCCCTGCTGCTCACGGGCCTGCCGGGCTCCGGAAAGACGCACCTGGCCCGCACCATTGTGGCGAGGCTGCGAGAGCAGGGCGAGGCGGTGCACCTCGTCTCAAAGACGCACTGCTCCGCGCAGAACCTGGGCCTGGGGGCGCAGACGGCCGACCACTGGGTGCGCAGGTACGTGCGCGGCGGCTGCGCGCAAAAGCTGGACTGGCTGGTGGTGGAGGAGATCACGCAGCTGGACATGGCGCTCTGGGCGGACCTGGCCTGCGTGGGGCTGAACGCCGACGTGAAGTTCCTGCTGCTGGGAGACTTCCGGCAGTTGCCGGCCGTGCTGGACTCCTGGGCCCATCAGCGCGCCGTTGGAGCACAGCCAGCTGGTCCGCGACCTGGCCTGCGGGCACCGGCACGAGCGGCCAGCCGGGCTTGGCGGGGAACAGCTCCCGGGCCCGCGCCTTGGCCTCCTCCAGTCCCGGCCCCTTTCAGCTCGCCCACCCGCAGCCAGCGCGCATGTTTTCCGTGAGCCTGTGCCTGTGGCCCCCAGCCAGGTCAATCACCGCCCGGGTCTTGAATGCCTGCTGCGCCCAACTGCTGCCACAGGCAGCCGCAATCTTACAGGCCAACAGCAAAGCGCAGAAAGGGCGCAATCTTGCACAACCGGCTGGGGTGTCTCGGCCAGCCTGCCTGCCCACCTGCCTGCCTGCCTGCTTGCTTGTGCACTTGCGAGTGGTTGCTTGGTTTTGTGTGCTCTGGCCTGGCTGTCTGGATAATGGTGCTTGTTGGGTTGGTGGCAGCGTAACTGACTGCTCCGAAACTGTCCATGCACGCAAAACTGCAAGTGGGAGTGACGCTAGCAAACACACCGGTCAGCGCGGGGGTTTCGAGGTTGGGCAGCCCTTTTTGATTTCCGAGCACGTTTCAAATACAAAGGAAATGCATGAACGATTTGCCTTCCCCCTGTGCTGCAACAGCTAACAACATTCAGGCAAACTGAGATTGAACCAGCACACAAGCTGCTACTACCAATCAACCCATCCCGACCCGTATTTTTTACGTCTTCAACAGCGTGGGCCTGGCTCTCACTGGGGTCTGGACAGAGTGAAATTCCTCAAAGCCGCCAATAGCAAGGCTGACCGGGGCGGCAAGCAATGAAACAATAGTTCCTCATACTCAGCTCTGGTTGTCGAGCTGAGATGCGCATTCGCATTGCGCAACATCTCCAAGTAGGTGCACCACGGCATGTCCAACCGTTCCGGTTCCGTCTTGTTCTTCTTTCTTTTGTCCTCCAGGCGCTTTTGTATGCTCTTATTTACAGCATCATTCGACCAACTCAGCAGTCGTTCAAAATATGGATCCCCTTTCGTTGGATGCCAGCCATGTTTCGTTCCATGCCTCCTGCAAATGGTCTCCACCAGCCTGCGGTCTTGCTTTTCCTTGACGCTCAGTTGGCGATTCTTCCTTCCCTTTGGCGAAGGACACCAACGCCGCAGCGTGCCTGCACAAACTCACCAACTCGCGCAAGTTGCTGCAGTCTTTGCTCGTTCTGGTACCATTGAAGGACCGGAAAATTGCTTTGGTTCAGTAGTGCCCCGCGCGCGTCTATGCAGCGTGCCACGCACGCAGTCCACGGGTTGTTTACAAAAGAGAAGTTGCCGTTCTTCTCATCAATATATGCCTTGAGGAAGCAGTCGTACACTGTCTCATCAAAAAAAACTGCTGGGTCAGAGGTTGCCTGACCATTGGCCAAGTCTCTAACGCACCGCAAACGTGGCGGATTGGACCAACTTGGATCCGCCAGCAAAGGGGTCATCTCCGTCACGAACTCATTTCTCAACTTCATGCTTACGCGTTTTTGTGCGTCGTTCTTGGACGGTTCGTCCTTCCACACCGCTGCTGTGTATGCCATTAGCGGCACGGATGGGATCTCGCCTAGCAGGTCGGACAGTTCCTCTCGCTCGGCTTCATTGGCAGCAGCGGCCAGGAATTCCTGTCTGGCATAGTCCAGCTCCTGGACGGGGTTCTGCCACGGGAAAAACCTTCGACACACGCCAGGAAAGGTGAATCCATTGGGAGTCATCCTCACAAAGTTTTGCCAAGCCAGGACCATGCCTGAACCCGTGATGGCAAAGTGCAGGTTGGAGTCTTCCTTGCTGACTCGGAGGAATCCCTTGAGGATGTCCCAGGTTGGGATAGTTCCCTCTTGCACTTGGAAAAACCTCTGAACTTCGTCGATCAGGAAAAAAACGGTACGCCCAGACTTATCCAAATTGTCCATCAACTCATCCAAGTGCAACATGTCACCTGGGCCCACATGGAACCCAGCGCTTGTTGCCCAAGCTGCAACTCTCTTCAGCAATCTTTCCTCCATTGCTCCGGGCTCGGCGCCCGCGTTGAGAAAAGTGGCAAAGTCCAGGACGCAAATCTCGGCATTTGGAATCTTTGTCAAGATGATCTGGGGCAGAAGGCGAGTCAATACGGTAGATTTTCCCGTTTTTACCATGCCATTGATGGCGCAGATGCGTCGGGAAGACACACAGTCCTCCACCCACGCCGTCAAATTCTGCATCAGCTCGCTGGACACAATGGCAAATTTTGCCGAATCCTTGAAATCGCAGACCAGCAGCTTCTCGCCGTCAATGTCCTTTTCTCTCACGACGTACTTGGGGGCGAGGTAGCGTTGCAAGCGACTTGCGCCCTGCAACTAAGCAGCAAGAAAACGCAAGCGCGACTGGAACAAAAGCAGGCCTTTCAATAAATGCGGGGTTCCCCCTCAACTATTCGATAGTTTTGTGCGCCACTAATCACTCACCCCAAATCAGGCAGATATGAGCAGGTACATCTAAAATTGAACGAAGGAAGGGAAAGGGAATGGCAGCACAACGGGCCAAAACATCGAACAAGAACACTGCCCTTGGATGCAAATCCAGGAATGCTTGAGCTCACTGCATCAAAGAGAACATTCACAGAATGCATTTGTGCCTACAGCAGCAAGGACCCCAATGGGCGAAAAGACATCAGAGTTTGCCTTCCGCGGGGACGGCAAAAGGGCGGGTCTTGCTCTTTGCAAAAACAGGCTGGGGGCAAGCACACACTCACAACGATCAACGGCACGTCTCAATCAATCTCGACCGGCAGGAATGACCGACCTCCCCGAATGGCAAGGAAAGGCAACCATCCCTTCATGGCGGGCTCCGTACCGAGGCTGCCAACGACAGCAATCTGCACAAATGCAATCTTGGGATTTCCAGGTTCCGTGGATGTTGATCAGGGCAGCCCCATTGAAAGCATTTGCGGGCCGAGGGGGGAATTCCTCAAAACCGCACGCAACGACCAATGTCTCAGAACAAAGTCAAGAGCAAACGATTTTCCAGCCGCGCCTCGGGCTCTTGCAACAGCCGGATCTTCTCAGCCAGAAGCTTTGCAGGGCCGCCAGGGATGTTGTACGGAGCTGCCATCAGCTCTTCCAGCGTGAGCTTCAGCAGGGACTTGCCGGTGACGCCCTGCTGCTGCAGTGCGACCGTTTGCTGGATGAGCTCGTCGTCTGCTTCCAGCCCACCATCGATCAACACAGCCTCTGCCCAACTGGACACCTGGGCCTTCTTGAAGCCCTCCACCTCCTCGCGGCTCTTGGCGAGCCAGTCCTGCCAGCACCCACCAACAACTGAGCCTGGCGTATGCTAGCCCCCCGCCTCCGGGTCGCCGTCCTGGCACCGGCAAGCGGCAACATTTTCAACTGCTGATTGGAGCGTCCTGTTGCTGGCTGGCTCGCAAAGCGACTCCGCCACGCCAAAGGCGCCGGCTTGTCACCTCAAGAGCTGAGAATCCAGCAAAAACATCGCAGCCACACCGAGATCTGGACCTGCGCATTGCGAGAATCCTGGCGGCAACACGCAAAACACAACCACGATGCCAAGAATCTAGCGTCCTTGCAGCCTGGGCGATTCGGTGAAATCATCTTGTGAGGGGCGATCGTGAACAACTGCACCTGGGGCCAGAACCCGCAAACCAAAGCACTGGAAAACATGTTGCCGAGTCTTGGCTGTGTGCAAGAACAGCCACGCAGTTGCAATCAAAAGAAGGCGCAAATACACACCTGGCGACAACAAGTCCTCAACAAGCACGGGTTGAAACTGACCAGCCTTGACGCTTCCTGGGTTGTTGCAGCAACAAGTAGAAGATGCTTCATGTTCCCACGCGCGCTTTCCATGCACACTTCGCCTGCATCCCGAACGTCGAACCTCCGGCTGCGCGATTTCGCGGAAGCCATTTTTTCGCAAAACTCGGAACGGTTAAGGCAGTGCGCGGTTGCTGGCATCCCGCCATCGCTGATGCTCTCTGTGGGCAAGGGCGCCTTCGTGGGGGGCGGGGAAGCCCGCAAACGCCCGCAGCTTGAGTTCGCCAACCTGGCCAACGGCCTGCTCCAGGAACACAACCGACGCATCAATGAAGGATCAGTACTTCGGTGATGTCGACTTGTTACATCAACGTTTCACCACGCAACTTCGCAAACTTGCTCGTCGCTGGCATGTGCTGGTTCAGTCTTCTTGTAGATCTGCAACCGGTTTTGAGGGCGTGACGCAGGCCATGGCCTTCAAGGCGCTGAAGCCCGACGTGCGCCGGCAAGTGCACCTGCAAGTGCACCTGCGGGCCTCCCCAACCAGACGGCCAGCGCCGACACCACGCTGAAGGCTGGCCGCCTCCGACAGAGCGCACGCGTGTTTCTGAGCAGGAATTCCGGCCCGCGGGTGCGGGCTGATCATGCTCACTGCTGACCACCAAGAGCCTGAGCACGCAGCTCTTGCTGACCACCAACGACCGCAACCGGCAACGTAGTCTGAACACCAGCTTCACCGCAGCAGGGTCCCTTGCCGGCCACCCTGGTGGTCCTTCTTGAGCGTCTGGATGCCCCGGTCCACCACGGCCGTGGCGTTGCGGTCTGGTGCGGTGCACCCTGGTGAAAACGTCCATCACCACAAGGCCGTACTTGGTGCGGTCCTTGGTGTTCTGGCTGAAGTCGATCAGTTGGGCCCCTCCGCGGCAGACAGCTTGCGGGCTTTCAGGGCCTCCACCTTGTTTGTTTGTCACGGGTTCTTTGGCCCGCGGCCCGCCTGCCAGGCTTCGCGAGCCTCATCAGCGCCCACTTGCTGGCCAGGAAGTCGTTGCTGGCCCGTCTACGGGGCCTTAGAGGACGGTGGAGCAGCCGGCCACCGAGCTCCGGCGCCGACAAGTTCCGGCACAACAAAGATTTGACGGAGCGGCGCATCAAAGCCGTGGAGGAGCCGGGGCGCCATGACGGTCAGGAGCACAGAAGGCCGCGAGACCGCTGAAGCTGGCCCTGCCGGCGCCCCAACGCCGCGGGCAGGCCTCTCTCTTTAGAGGGGGTTTCCCAAATGGATTCACCTTGTCCTGCGAAGGATTCGCAGCCAGAAGCCAGCCAAAAAAGCCAGCCAGGGTTTCCTTTGAGGGGGCTCGCCTTGCAGAAACAAAGGGCAGCTGCTGGGCATTTTGCAAAACCGCACATCTAGGGGTCATTATTTTGCAGCCACACGCCTGCACGCAGCGTTTCAGACTTGCTTGGTTGGTTTCTGGCTGGCTTTCTGGCTGGTTTTGGTTGGCTTCTGGCTGGCTTTCTGGGGTTGTCGGCATCTCCGCCAGAAGGTGCGAGAGTTCTGCGTGGCGCAACGCGCCGATGCGAGTAGTAAGGAAAGGCTGCTTATAGTCCCCTAATTTTTTGGCATTTTTGGGCTAAAAACGCTGCAAAACAGCCAAATTTCGTCCAAAAAACGCTTGTCACCAGCGATGTCACCGCTTCGTCACCGCTCCGTTTTTGGAGCAAAAAGCGCTGAAAACGGCGAACTCCGAAAAGTGCGTTTTTCGTGTCCTGCGTCTTTTGTGCTGCCTGGGCCTCCAAATTCGCTCGTTTTCCGCCGAAAACCGGCTCCAGGTGTTTGCAGTGCTCCGAAATCCGTATTCTGCCTCGAAAAACCTGCGAATTCCAGCCCGCTGAGCTTGTCACCGCCGAAGTCACCGGTCTCTAACACGTCAGCCTGCCGAGGCACACCACAGAGTCAGCCAGTGTCTAACACGGCAGCCCGCCGAGGTGCTCCCGCGTAACACGTCAGCCTGCCGAGGTTCTCCCACGTAACGCGTCAGCCTGCTGAACTAGTCACCGCCGATGTCACCGGTCTCTAACACGTCAGCCCGCCGAGGTGCCGGGGAGGAATCGAACGTCGCTCCGGAGACCAACGCCTTAGCCATCTCACCATCGGCTCTCGTTACCGGTCCAAAACGGCGCTTTATCGCGCAAAAACGGTCTCACCGCGAGAGGTCACCGCTTCGTCACCGCTCTCTTTCAGGCCGAAAAGTGCGCAAAAGGCTTGGAACGGCTCCGCGGCTTCGGTCTGAGCGAGGCCGGCTCCGCGGCTTCGGTCTAAGAGCCGAACTTTTCTCCACCGAAGTCGGAAATCCGACCTCGCTCCACACCGAAGTCGGATTGGGGCCTGGTGCGGGCCTGGTGCGTGCCTGGTGCGGGCCTGGTG